CACAAATTAAAACAAGTGCTGATCCTGAACTTTGTTTTTAATAAAATAAAATAGACTCCAGTGGAGCTCCGAAATGGCTGATGCCTTTACTTTTGAATTAATGTACTCTTAAGATCAATCCTGTCTGAGAACAAGAGACTTGGCTGGACCAGCAATTCCCAAAGTATGTTCTGGGAGCACAGAATTGAGTGGGTGGGAAGGGGGCAGTAGGAAGTCGTGGGAAGACAGGAGATGCTTTCATGAAGCAGCACCCTTGAGAGGGACTGTGTTGCTTTGGGCACTGTCTGCCTCTGTCTTGCTCCCAGGAGCGCACATCCAGTTCCTGAACTTCTCCACCGAGCCCAACCACGACTTCATAGAAATCCGGAACGGCCCCTATGAGACCAGCCGCATGATGGGCAGATTCAGTGGCAGCGAGCTTCCCAGCTCCCTGCTATCCACGTCCCACGAGACCACCGTGTATTTCCACAGTGACCACTCCCAGAACCGGCCAGGATTCAAGCTGGAGTATCAGGGTAAGGACAAGGAGTTCCATGTTAGTGCCTCTGCCCATCCCCATCCCTGACCCCCCATGGCCCATCTTCCCAGCCTTCCATGTGGGAGAGACAGAAGCCAGAAGGGATGGGGCTGGCGGCAGGCCTGTCTACAGAGACTTCCTTTCCTTGGCAGATGCCTCTGGCCCCTGTGTGACAGCTCAGTTCTCTCATAGCCTTTTCCAGAGTTGGAGGGCCAACAGCACCCTCAGAGGTTCTATCTCTATCCAGATCTGATGGTCAAGAGCTTTCCCTGGGCAAAAGGAAATCCCCTTGGTATGCCCAGCCAGGCACTTCCCCAAGGGCCTGATGAACTGAGTTACTCCCTCTGGGTCCTTCCCTGGAGATGAGGCCTGATTACTGAGAGCAAAGCTCTTTCTATGACAGGGTAGAGGGTTCTACTTACAGTCCTGCCAGCACCCGCTGAGCCTCGCACAGCAAGACAGAGTTTCCTGTGTGGGGCCCAACCACACCTGCTGTGGCTCTGCCTTCCTGAAGTGGAATCCTGTGACAGCCCCATTCCTCCCAGCACTTTCTCCGGAACAATCCCCATCCACTCCAACTCAGGCTTGCCCTGTGTGATGGGCCTTCCGTCCCCTGTGGGTATATGGAGACTGTGCCCAACCTGTGCAGCTGTACCAGGCAATCCATATTTTCTCTGCCAGAGGCTTCCCTGTTGTGACTTCCTGAACCATTTGTTCTAAATCCCTTCCCAGATTCTTCAAATTTGTTTCAGATTTTTAGACTTTTTCCCAATATTAATACATGATTGTAAAAAAAATTAAAACAGACTGGGTGCAGTGGCTCCTACCTATAATTCCGCACCTTGGGTGGCTAAGGCAAAACGATTACTTGAAGCCAGGAGTTCAAAACCAGCTTGGGAAACAAAGTGAGACCCTGTCACTACAAAAACAAAAATTTTTTTTTTAATTAGCCAGGCACAGTGGTACATACCTGTATTCCTAGCTACTTGGGAGTTTAAGGCAGGAGGATCCTTTGAGCCCCAACCTTGTGAGATCCTATCTTTAAAAATAAAAGAAATTAAAACAAGTAAGGCCAAAGCTCTCTTTGTCTGCCACCTCTAAATCCGTGATAATTCCCCAGGATTAATCATGGCTGTTTTGATGTGACCTTTCCAGAGCTTTTCCTATGCCTTGACATACATATGTTTTTTGTACCTGTCAAAAATATGTAATGTTTTACAAAATTTTTCGGCTATGTTTTCTATATAAATAGTACCACATTTATGCAATATTTTGAGAGTTGGCTTTTTCATTCTGGGAATAATAGGGCATGGAACTCCACCTTTGTCAGAGAGGAATTCTGAGCTAGGACTGGGTTTGTCCCTTAAGGAAAGCCTTAAAAGCATATCCCACCAGGTGGGCACAGTTGGGCCAGTTCGCTCCGGGGTCTCTTCCTCAGAGAGCTTGGGCCCATCTCAGGGAATATGTCAGTGGTGTGGCTGGGCTGGTCACCTCAGGGAGAGCCTCAGGAGGAGCTGAGCTCACACTCAGACAAAGGAAATGAAGCTGCCACTCCCAGGGGAGCTGTGTGTGGGTTTGTCACACAGGCCGGCCTTACCAAGAGGGTCTGTGCCTATCAGGTGGGAGGGGCTTACTTGTCAGTAGATCCTGTCACATCAAATGGCTGCGGTCCGTCACAGGAGGAACTTGGTCCCAAGTGGTCAGTGCTCCCATTAGGGACAGATTTATCACCTTACACCAAGGCTCCCCCACCCCCGTGTCTTAAGTTTACTAGGACTTCGCTAACAGGACCCTCCTCCAGATGTCCCCCTCAAGTCCACCCCAGCCACAGTCTGAACCAATCCTGGCATCAGGTCACTCCCTTCAGCTCCACTTCCCCGAAGGCTTCTTGTTTGAGCTGATCCCAGCCTCTAGAAATAGGTTGTTTCTGGTGCCAGGGACCCACCTGCTCCCACTGAGGCCTCCCAACTTGTGACAGGCCGAAATACCTCTCCCCGACCCCAAAACCCACATTCTCCATTTATACCTTCCTCGCTCCTATGGAACTACACCCTGAAAAGCAGCTCTGCCTCACTCCTCCTGGGTTTTCCCTCTTTGGAAATGCCCCCGTTCATGAAGGAGCCATTTTTCCCCATGGAGGCTATGTAATAGGCCCAGCTCTCTGTGGTCCTGCAACTTCTTTTAGAAGTCTGACTCTTTAGCCTTTTTCAAAACTCCTTTGAAGGAGCACATTGCACTTCCTTATGCCAAGGTTTTCTTATCTCTTCTTCAGCTAAAATATTCCCAGAAAATTTTTAGTAACAGTGTAAGGTATTCCTACCGGCCTCCCAGTCTGACAAGCCTAACGCATCCCATTAAAATTTCTCAGGAGGGTTGTGTTTATATGGAGCCTAGCAGAATGACTAAGATGATGTATAGTTGTTCCAAACTGTTAGGCATCATCATTATGAATCCTTTGAAGTCGTGTCCATCTAATGATGTCGCCTTGCCTGGAAGTGCATCTCCCCTGTCAAAGTGTGTCCCAGGGACAAACCCAGCTGCTCTTCCTCTGAAAAGTACATGATTCCTCCTCTTAGGGTCTGTTTCTCCCCTCTAGACTCAACCTCTCCCTTTCCCTCTCCTTTTGAAGCTTCTTCTAGGGAAACAAGCTCTGGGATTTTTCTCGGTATCCAGGTACTATCACTGGAGTTTCTGTCTTTGTAAAAAGCCAAGATCCTTCGAATGGAAGAAAGGATCCGTTTATAGGAAGACACTTCCTACAAAAGCCTAGATGCTCTTGTCAAAGCTGCCTCTGGCTCCCCACACACGAGTAGCTACTCAACACCTTTGGGTCCACACAGTCCCCACAGAGGCTTCCTTTGAAGACCCCACTCTCCCCATTTAGTCTCCTACCTGAAGTCTCCTTAACACTTCCATTGCCAAATCAACCAGACCCCCTCTGCCACCAGGGCCGTCCTTGCTTTTCCTACAGCTGACCAGCCTCACACACACACACACACACACACACACACACACTACTATGGGGTGGATCAGGATTGTTGACACACCCCAGTCACCTTGATGACTTCCCAGGGAAACCTGCCCCATTCCTCCCACTGGGACCTCCCCGTATGATACTGAATGGAAGTGCATAACATAACCACCATCATTGTTGACTGTTACCTTCAAGATCATCATTATTTATATTGTTATTATGTCTGATAAATGCAGCCACTTTTATGAAACATTCCTTCAGTCTCTACTGTTTCCACTAAAAGTTTCCGCTGTCAGAACATTCCATCTCTTCCACTGCTGATTTCCTGTGCAAAGTGAGCCCCATGATTGCCACGAAGGCTGTGCTGTGTCCTGTGGACCCAATTAATGGAAGGCTTAGCTCAGTGAATCCCTCAGCAGCCCTTCTCTGATGGGAGGGCCTCAGCTCTCCTAAGACATCTGCTGTTGAGTCATCACCACCCATTCTCATGGAAGCGGCTTCCCTGCTCTTTCTGGGGACTTGACAGTCATGCATTCCTGTAGCCCAGCTCTTCCTCCTGAAAAGTTTTACTCCTTGCCACAAATTTAGCCCATTCCCACCAGATTTATTCCTTTCCAGTGGATTCTGATCTCTCCAACTTGGAAAGATCCCACTCACATCCAACCTTCACTGCTTTCTTTGTCTGTGATCTTGACCCTTGTTGTAAAGGTTCTATGAGATAAGCAGCATTGAAAAGAGGTGGACCTATGCGTGGCCCTGAGCGGTGCTCAGTGAACAGTGGTTCAGTCTAATGATGTCTTCCTTAAGCCTCATTTCCCAAGGAAATACTGATAACAAATAATCTTTATTGAGTATTCACCATGTGTCAGTGCTGTGCCTATCTCATCCTACTTAGTCCTTACAGGAGCCATGTTATAAGTAAGAAAGTGGAGGCATAGAGCAGTTGAATAACTTACCCCAAACCAACAACTGGTAAATAACCAAGATCTGGCTGGGTCTAAGACTTGGTGCTTCACCACTCTGATAATTCTCTGCTACTCTTGTCTCCCAGTTGGGAAGAAAATACCCACAGAGAATAAAGTAACTTTTCTCCCCCAATCTTTTCCAGCCTATGAACTTCAAGAGTGCCCAGACCCAGAACCTTTTGCCAATGGCATCGTGAGGGGTGCTGGCTACAATGTTGGACAGTCAGTGACCTTCGAGTGCCTCCCAGGATATCAACTGATTGGCCACCCCATCCTCACATGTCAACATGGCACCAACCGGAATTGGGATCACCCCCTGCCCAGGTGTGAAGGTATGTCCCTCCCTCATCCTGGGTCATCCTTCCTGGGCTGGTCCTGGAGATGGGTCCAGAGCAGCCCCACATCCCACCTGCTGTTTTATGGGGCCACCAAAGCTCGAGGTCCAGGCATACTTTGGTCTATCTTGGTGGCAGAGCTCAGGGAGAACCTGGAAATTTGGGAAGATCCAGGCTGATGGTCTAGATGCCCCCAGTGGACGGGAAGGGGAAGGCTCCACAGGAGGGCGCAAGGGCCCAGTGGTGAGCTGAGGGCAGAGAGGGAGAGTTAATCATGGCATTTCCTGAAGGGAGGAGGGAATGAATCCTCTTTCTAAGTGCTCTCTTACCTCCTCTTCACCTGTCCCCTCCCCCACCTGCCATACTCTCCCTCCCACATGTCTCTGGAGAGACCTGAGCTGATTATATCAGGGCACTAGAGGTGGCACTTCCTTGGGTCTTCCTTAACCACATTGAGGATGGGAGAGGACAGGGAAGTTGTGCTGCCTCCACCTTCATCTATACACTTTAGTTCCACTTTCCTTCCTTTTTCTTCCTGGCAGCCCAGCATTTTCCAGGAGGAAAGGCAGGAATTGGTCTTGAAAGGGGAAGGTTTGGCAAGGGCAGTGATCCGGGAGAGAGTTCCTGGCAGATCCGCCTAGGCTCCATCCCTAACCATTCTGCCTCTCTGAGCTTTGGTTTCTTCCATAGTAAAATGGAACTTCTCATCTGTTTCACAAGAGCTGGGACTCCTGCAGATGACTCTAAAAAGAGCAAATCTTAAGAGACAGAAACATATTTTTCTAGTTTCTTAGCTCTTTCTGCAAAAACACTGCAACCCTAACCCTAACATCTGCCTCCTCCCATTCCTGAGTAGAGAGAGGGACAACGTCAGTGTGACCTTCCTTCTTGGCAGGTCTCTTCCATGAGAAAGAGACAGAGCTGCAACCAGGGCTGAACCACAGGGCTGTGGTGTGTTGGGACTGATGGCCAGAGCCAGGCATGGCCATCCCCAGCCCAGACTCCTGTCCCCCAAACCATCTCCATGCCAGGATGGTTTGTGCAGGGAGCTGGGAGTTGACTCGGAAGTCATCTGCACTCTCAGGTGGGGTGGTGTTTGTGTACTCATCTGTGTGTTTGTGTTTCCTCCCCGGCAGTCCCCTGTGGCGGCAATGTCACCTCATCCAATGGCACTGTGTACTCCCCGGGCTTCCCCAGCCCCTACTCCAGCTCCCAGGACTGTGTCTGGCTGATCACTGTGCCTGTTGGCCATGGCGTCCGCCTCAATCTCACTCTGCTACAGACAGAGCCCTCCGGAGATTTCATCACTGTCTGGTAGGGCCGCTGGGTGCCAGGGGCTCTGAACTGGGTTACTTATCAGTTACCTGTTGTTTGAGAAAACTAAGAGCTGAGTGGTTTTAAATGTCAGTATTAGCCTCCTGGGTTTCAAACAAACATGGTGGAGTGAGGCTCAGCTTCAATTAGTTAGCTGTTACAATTCCTTAAAGGGAGAGGAACAGGAAGGCAGTGGCTCCCAACCTATGGTCCTACTTAGACCAGAGAAAGTACCAGTGGATATGTGAATGGGTGCAGGCCATGGACATAGAGACTTTTCTCAGCATTTCCAGAATTCAGACCAACATTCTGCTTGGACCAGGGATAAGCTACTCAGACTAATGGAGGTTTCAGGGGGATTTTTCTGGTCATCTTATGTTTGAGCCAATACTGTCCAACAGAACTTTCTGCAGTGATGGGAATGTTCTGTGCCTGTGCAGTTCAGTGTGGTGGCCACCAGCTCCATGTGGCTACAGAGCACTTGGATGTGACTAGAGATACTTTGTAAATTTGATTTAATTTTAATTAATTTGGATGTAAATAGACACATGACTAATGGTTCCTGCATTGGACAACTAAGATCTGAGTTACATAGTTATGTGTAATAGAACTTGAGTTAGTTTGAAAATGGGAATACAAATTATTATTTAATAAGTACAGTTTCCTGGAAAGTTTTTTCCCCAAACCACTGGGTCTGTGGACAAAGATATAATTTTATTCCTTTTGTTTGGAGGTTACTGCCATTCTGGGAATTGTCAAGGGATAGTGGGATTGTCTTCCAAAATTCCCAGGGCTGGATAACTGTAACCAGATTGATTGCCCTGGGTTAATTTTAGCTCAGTTTCCAAGCAATGGCTAAAGACAAATGGGAGGGACTAGATAAGGTTCCTGGGGAGAAACCCTTGGCCCAGAAAGGCAATATGGGGATATCTCTTTGCCCGGGGGACAAGGAAGTGGGGCTAGTGGGGCTAGCAGTGGCAGGAGATTCCTGCAGCAGCTCCTTGGCCCTGTCCCAGAGACACACAGCCTGGCATGGTGTCTGCACTGCCCTGTAAAGCAACTGGGCTAGCAAAGAATCAGACGAATGAGGAGTCAGCGTGAACTTCACCCATTCTATCAACTGCATGGGGATACTGAATCAGGACAGGTTCAAGAGAGATGTTTATGCCCCTGGAGGAAAAGTGTTGGGTATAAGAAGAGTCACAGCCATCCACTCCAGTTCTCTCTTAAGGTCACTGATGGCACCAGGTATAGCAGGCAGCCGCAGTGACTGGTGACATGGCAGGGCTTTCTTTCCTACATGCAGGGATGGGCCACAGCAGACAGCTCCACGGCTTGGGGTCTTCACCCGGACCTTGGCCAAGAAGGCGTTGCACAGCTCATCCAATCAGGTCCTGCTCAAGTTCCACCGTGACGCAGCCACAGGGAGCATCTTTGCCTTGGCCTTCTCCGGTCAGTATGGAAGCCCAGCCTGGTGGAGGGGGCCAGTCGTGTGACTCTAAGTGAGTTGTATAGCCTCCCTGAGCCTCAGGGTCCCCAGGGTGACGAGAATCAAATGTATTACCATATGTGAGTACTCCCAGCACAGAGCTCGGATAACTCACGTTCTGTGAGGGCCATTCATTCAAATGACACAGTCACTGTGCACTTACCTGCACCCCAGTTTCTCCCTTTGCTCCTTCTAGAGCAGTGTTTTTCCAACCTTCTTTTTTTTTTAATCTCATGGCATCCTTGAACCTACAGTTAAACTTCTGGGGTGTGCTTAAATCATGTTGCCGAAAAAAAAGAGTAAAAAAGGAATATACTTACTGTGCTTTGAACTTCTTTTGAAAATAACTTTATTAATGAACTTTAAAATTTTTCACAGCACACCTAAGATCCTCTCATGGCACACTGGTTGAAAGTCACTGTTCTAGAAGGTTCTCCCTCTCCAAAATAATCCAAAGCCTTGGCTGACCTCTCACGAAGTTATGTGTTTTCATGCACAGATGAAATTGTAGTGATTCCAGGTAGAAAGAACATGGGTTTGTTCTTATTGGCAGCCTGATTTATTCCAGAGTTCAAAGTCAGGGACCTAGATATTTCCTCATATTTATTATAGTGGAACTGCATAGAAAAACTTATGGAAAGTTTTCTGTGGGCTTGTGCACATCTATGGAATGATATATGTGTTTATAACTTATAGAGCATTATATATATTTGAATGGAAAATCAGGAAAGCCCGATTTTATTCCTGGCTCCACCTTGGGTCAGTTGCATATGACCTTGTGCAGGTCTCATCCCCATTGGAGACTTCAGTTTCTTCACCTGTAAAAGGCTTGGAGTTTGTGACCTGGAGAATTCTGTGACACAGTTAGGCAGATATTCTAATGCCCATTTTACAAATAAGGAAGTGGGGCCAACGGAAGGCTCAGGTACCTGCCCCAAACTGTGTGGACAGGATTGAGAACAGAGCCCAGTTCTTTCAGCTCTTCAGTATCAGTGCTGGCATAATGACACAGTGTTATTACATCCTGTGAGCACTTACAGAAACAAACATTCAGTCCTACACCTGCGGAAGAAGGGAAACAGAGAGGGCCAATAATATCAAAAACCTAATCAGGCCAGCACGATGGCTCACACCTGTAATCCTAGCACTCTGGGAGTCAAGGTCGGTGGATTGCCTGAGCTCCGCCTGAGCAAGAGTGAGACCCCATCTCTACTAAAAATAGAAAACTAGCCAGGTGCTGTGGCAGGCGCCTGAAGTCACAGCTACTTGGGAGGCTGAGGCAAGGAGATCACTTGAGCCCAAGAGTTTGAGGTTATTGTGAGCTACCACGGCCACAGCATTCTACCCAGGGTGACAGAGTGAGACACTGTCTCAAAGAAGAACCCACGTATATAGAATAAAAGGGGTCACTGTACACCAGCCCAGTAATTGTTTCAATTTATAAAAGGAAATCCATATAGGACCCAGGCTAAGAAAGTTAACTTCAAAGGAACACAAATCAGACAATTCTCAACTAATCTGGGGCTCTAGATTACAGAAAATGAAGGAGGCATTCCCGTGGGTGTTTAAGGGGAAGAAAAATCAAGAGTTAGGTGTGTGCGGGATTAGAGCCTAAAATTGTGCCACCCTAGCCTCAGTCAGAACTATTTCTCCAGAATGTAACCACCCAGAGAGGGATGCACCACTGGCTAAAAATAGAGACAAATGAAAGAAAAGATATAAGTGGGAAACGCTGATACAAACTAAGCACAGACTTCGATAATAATGGAAAATCTAAATTCAAAGCAAAATACAAATACAACAATTCTCTACAAATAATAATTTTATGTTAACACATTACCCAAGTAGATGGAAGGACAGGAGAATGTCCTTATCTTTCGTGAAGGTACAATCAATATGTGTTACTCAATTGTTGAATTTGATAATTAGAGAAGTACAGGTTTCAAGCATATATTATGGTCGCTAATACATTTCAAATAGGGGATAACACTTCTAAATCACTAAATAGAAAAGCTGGTGAAACGTAATTCAAATATAACAGGTAGGAAACAAAGAAAACTCGTTAGAAGCAAAGATACAGGAAACACAAAATAAAATAAAGCCCAAGAAGAAGGGGAAAGGGGAGAGAGAGGGGAGGGGAGGGGGAGGATGGGTGGAGGGAGGGTAATTGGTGGGACACACCTATGGTACATGTGAAATTTCCTAGGTGTAGAATATAAATGTCTTAACACAATAACTAAGAAAATGCCATGAAGGCTATGTTAACCAGTTTGATGAAAATAGTTCAAATTGTATATGAAACCAGCACATTGAACCCCATGATTGCATTATTATAACAGCTATGATTTAATAAAAAATATGGTTTTTTTAAAATAAATAAATAACTAAAATAAAACAAAGCTGTAAAATAAAATCATTCCACTATAATGAAAGATGCAAATTTATCAAAGTTTAATTCACTATTTAAAAAAGCAAAGACTCTTAGATTAGGCTAAACCATATTTAACTGTATTTTTTTATACCAGGAATCTAAGCCAAAGCGACATAGTTTAAAAGTCAAAGAATGGCCAGTGATAAGTTAGGCAGCCACAAACAATAGTAACAATCAAAGAAAAACAGGGGATTCAAAGCAAGAAACATCAGATGGAGAAAGTGAATTATTTTATACCAGAAAATGCTATAACCTATAATAATAATTTTTAGTTTCTTTTATTTTTAACTATGGTAAAATACACCTAACATACAATTTACCATCGCAACCATTTTTAGGTGTACATTTCAGTGGTATTAAGTACACTCACATTGTTGGGCCACCATCACCACCATCCAATCCATAGCCAGAACTTTTTAATCTTACAAAACTGAAACTCTGTACCCATTAAACCACAATTTTGCTACTAACCCCTCCCCCCAACCCCCTACAGCCACCATTCTATCTCTATGAATTTGGCCAATCTAGGTACCTCATATAATTGGAACCACATGATATTTGTCTTTTTGTAACTGCCTTATTTCATTAAGCGAAATATTGGCTTCAAGTTTCATCCATGTGGTAGCACGTTCCTTCCTCTTTAAAGCTGAATGATATTCCCCTGCGCGAATGCCACATTTTGTTATTCCTCAAAGGGGACTTGGGTTGCTCCTACCTTTAGCTAGTGTGAGTAATGCCAGGAACATGAGTCTACCAGTATAGGACGATAACTGTTTAGTGATAATCCTGTTGGAAAGGTTGCAGGAAGATGCCCACGTGGTGGTAGGCAGCTTGAGACTACATACCAAAGCCTTGACGCAAGGGGATTAACTACACATTCAAAACAGTTTGTGATGTCTACACCACTCATGATGACTCCCGTAACTGCCCCCTCCCAGGGCACTGGGCAGCTATGTTTGTACCACTTGACACTCTACACACACCCCTGAGCCCCAGCCACAGTGGCTTGGACCAGAGGACCTAGACCTGACTCCAGCAGGGATCATCTGGTGTTCTCTCTTGGGAACTTGAAATTAGACTTAAAAGATTCTACTTTTCCCTGGACTCTTCTCCTAAAGAGAGACAATATAATTCCAGGTGCAATGGATTCTCTCCCTTCTCCCCTCCATGTGGACTTCACTTCCAAGAAGTGAAACAATCCCATGTGCGGAAAGAGAATGACTGAGACGTGGGGAAATTTTCCTTGGTTTCTGACCACTCAGCTCCTTGTCATCCCCCTTTGTGCTGTCTGTCTGCAGGTCCGCCCTGGGGTCTCTTATTCTAGCCTGAGTTGGTCGATGCTGTTTGCATTAAAGGTTCCTGACTGATGTCATCATCTAGGACCCAGAAATCCTACTTCTGGGAATTGTGCAAAGACATTTACATACAGATATTTCTTGTGCATAAAGATGTTTCTTGATGTGTTATTTACAACAGGGAAATTAGAAATTATCTAAATGTAAGATAACAGGAGGTTGGGTATATGAATTTTTATAAGTACTCTTAAAGAGAGAAGGGAAAATTTAGTCATTCCAAATCATTCAGATAGAATATAATTCATTGATTTAGGGAAATGTTTAGGTTATAGTGTTCAGTCCAAAAAGAGATGATTTTTAAGCCCCAGGTGACAGTATCGATACAACCAGAAAATGCAATGATGATGGTCTCCTACCCTAGACTATAGTCGCCTGTCCTTGTGAGGCTCTTGAGAAGGAGATATATACAAAGAACAAAAGTCAAGGAAGGGATTTTAAGATTAGCTGGGCCTGGACTCCAAACTCAGAAGCAGAACCCTCACTCTTCCAGTTGGTAAGTTTAAATCAATTGTGGAAACCTACATGTTTTCCTAAGCTGATTTTGGCTTTAAAATGTAGGACTATACAGCACGCCTCCTGGATGAAGGGCTCAATTACAATCTGGGTTTTACCTAACAAACACAAACAATGTAGCTTAATTGTTTGTATCCATATATTAATCTGAATTTTTTTTTATTTTCAAATGGACCTGTAATCCTAGCACTTGGGGAGGCCAAGGTGGGAAGATTGCTTGAGGCCAGAACTTCAAAACTAGCCCAAGCAGCTAGCAAGACCCTATCTTAAAAAAAAAAAAAAAAAATGAATGGAGCCATCACTTAAGCCCAGGAGTTGAGGCTGCAGTGAACTATGATGATATCATTGCACTCCAGCCTAGGCAACAGAGTGGGACTCTGTCTAAAAAATGAGCGAAGTAAAACCACAAAAAAATATATATAAGCTTCAGATGAAGGGCCAGTTGAACACACCCATCAGCCTGAGTAAGAACATGCCTAAGACACAGTACAATATGCCCCCCACTGTGGCTACTACTGACCTGACTGCTGCTTAATATAAAGCAGTGACTTCGCCCACCCACCAGCTAACAGGTTTACATGTACTAGAATTTGACTCATCTGTAGGGGGGCCTCTCTGGCAAGGGGAAGAAGGAGGGTAGGCACTAAACAAAATGTAGGTGTCAGTCTCTAATGTCCCCTGCTCTTGAATTCTATAGCAATAACATGGTAGATACTCTTTCAGCGGTGTTGAAAGAGTATGTTTGTGTTTGGGGGTAGGGGCCATGTCTGTAAAAGATCAAAGGTCAGACAGCAAAATGTTAACAATGCTTATGCCTCAATGGTGAGATTTCAGGAATTTTTATCCTGTTGTTATTCAGCATCCATAGATTTTCTGCATGAAGCAGAAATTTGTAAGTTTTTGAAAACATTATTTTATTTTATTTTATTTTATTTTAAGACAGAGTCTTACTTTGTCAGCCTTGGTAGAGTGCCATTGTGTCAGAGCTCACAGCAACCTCAAATTCTTGGGCTCAAGTGATCCTTTTGTCTCAGCCTCCCAAGTAGCTGGGACTACAGGTGCTCAGCACAACACCTGGCTATTTTTTAGAGACAGGGTCTCACTCTTGCTCAGGCTGGTCTTGAGCTCATGATCTCAAGCAATCCACCTGCCTTGGCCTCCCAAGTGCTAGGATTACAGGCATGAGCCACCACACCCAGGCTTGAAAACATAATTTTGAAATGTAATGGAAAATAACCCAAATCAAAATAGTAATCATAAATATATAAAATACCTAGCCTCTGTTTAAGCCATTTTATTTGCTTGATGTGTTTTCTGGAAAAGTTTAGTATACCTTAGAAGTCTCAAAGGTAAGTATGAGACTGAGAATGGAAGGTAATAAAATTTTTTTAAACTCCGATTAAGGAAAATGAGAGTTGGCTAAATAAAAAGTAAACACGTCTACAAATCAAATGACTGCCATAAATAAAACTAAGAAAATAATAAACTGTGAAAATAGAATTAACAGGCTAAGGTCAATATTGGATATTCATAGAGTTCGTCAGATTTGTAAGAACAATAAAGGCAAAGGACATGAATAGATAGTTAAAAAGAGAAATGCAGCCCACTAAAATATTTTTTAAAGTTCAACCTAATTAGCCATCAAGTGCCAATTAAAAGAAAATTAATTCTACTTTTTGTTTATGAGCTGACAAAGATCAAAACTGATCGCTATCTCCCCCAATGGGCTCTATGTTCCGTGGGTGGTATTGGTATCATTTATTGCATCCTGAGCACCTGACACAATGCCTGACCCAGGCTGAGCCCTCAATAGGTAATCATCAAATGAATTGGGTGAAAGAAGAATGGGGGCACCCAGTGCTGGAGAAGCAGTGGTTTTGTTGACAGTGTCAATTGGAACAATTTCAACAAAATGGCGGCACGCACGCTTTGGGTGCAGACACAGCCCTCCCTGGTTTATGTGAAATCAGTGTTAAACCCCCTTGGCTCCCTCAAGAGCACCTCTTCATTATAATGCCCACACTTCATAAAGTTTGTGTATTTCTCAATAGGACATTTTCAGCCAACGTGTCTGTAGAAGAAATTTATAGTTAGATCCCCAACACATAATACAGTTTCAATAAATCTATCTGTGGGAAAATCTCAAGTTACATTCCAGCTACAGTTGGTGAAATGTCAGACTTCCACGTGGACATGTGGAAAGGAACCCCCATTTCCACAGTGGGGTGTGTGTCTCAGATGCTGCTAGCTCTTCCACCCAATGCCTGCGCTAAACTCAGTCCCTGAGTCTTTCATATTTCATCCTTGCCTAGAATTTTGCCATGTCTCAAGCAGAGGAAGTTTGCTTAGTGCACTGAACGTTTAAGGTATAGTACCGTGCCGCCATGCTCAAACCCTCTGTTTTGCTACAGTCATAATTTTGGGATGATCGTGAAGTGATGTTTTAGGTATTTCACTTCTAGCATAATGGTTTATTGCATAAATTTCAGTATTTTATGGTGTTTCAATTACTTTGTGAGGGTTTGGGGTTGATGTATAACACATTATAGCATTTTCCCACTTAAAATAACGGGAAATAGACTTCTAGTTAGCATCTTGACCCAGAAGATCTGATTTCCAGGCATGAATCACTGACATTAGCAGGAGATCGTCCTGCATTTTAATCATTTCTAGTTGAAAAAAAAAGAAAAAGTAAATAATCAGAAAAGATGCATGTGTTAGAAAGATTTCATCCCGGTTTTATTTTAAATTCCAAACTTTGGAAACCCAAAGGGTTAACAATAGAGTATCTGTTCAGTAAGTCCTAGTAATTTCAGGTGATTAAATGCAATGAAGTGGGTTGGCTGCCAGGTCTTAGCTAAAGAAAAAAGTAATAATAATAATCGTAATTAATCCAATAGAGTCATTTCAATCATATTTTTTAAGAAATTTAATTATATGGGAAAATTCTTGCAATGTAATAGTAAGTGTGCAAGGATCAACAGAAAGTTGTGTAAGAGAAAAATATTTATATATGCAGAGAATAAACATTCCAAGAGAAGGCAATGGACAAGTTTGATTTTCTTGCCACTGTCTTCAAAGAAAACCTCAGATTTTCTTGAATGACCATGTAAAATATTACATTTATATTTTCAAAAAAAAGGAACATAGCAGGGGTTGGGGTGATTTTGAGAATAGTAATAATAATAAAGGTAACAGCAGTTAATACTTGTATAGCGCCTCACTACACGCCAGGCAGTGAAAGCCAAGTTATGAACCCACACTGAGTTTTGCCACAATAACACCTGTTCTCAAGCTCCATCCAGTCTCTGCCCACAGGGATATGGGAAGCCAGATGTTTCTGGTCAAAGAGCAGAAGGGTCCGTGGACTGTACTGGGTACTCAGAGAGGCCACGCATGGTATGTAGAGTAGCGGGAAGAATACGGGATCTAGGAGTGGCCAGCCCTGGATTCAAATCCTGCCTATGCTGCTTAAATTCCTATGTGACTCTGGGGAAGTAGCCTCACCTTTCTGAATCTTACTTGCTCATGAGTTGACTAAAAACACCTCCCAGCATGATCAGCTGTTGAGGGCGTTAGAGGGGCTGCCTGAGAAAGCACCTTGATACAGCAGAGGAGCTCAGCAAATACTCCCCTCTCACGTTGCGTGCTGGTGACTGTGTCCCTGGCTTCTTCTTAGATCCTTCCTCCTTTATTATTAATTTCAGTAAGAATTACAGAAGGTCAGCAAAATACACCTTGGCTAAACTCACTCTATATACAGACAAATACTCATGAGTATCGGTTTTGTGAAAGAGTGACAAATGAGGGGCTGAAGAATGGGATAATTGAAACGCTATGTGCTCTAAGAATGATCAATGTTGCCCTGACTTGTCTGCTTTTATCTTCTCAGCTTATCCACTCACCAAATGCCCTCCTCCCACCATCCTCCCCAACGCCGAAGTCGTCACGGAGAATGAAGAATTCAACATAGGTACCCTCTCCCAAGCCAGCAAGGACGGGGAGCCCAGGGCTGGTTGGGGAGGGGAAGAAGGGGGGAGCTAGCAGAGG